GTGTGTTTGTAAAGAAAATATTGTTGTTAATAAAATCATTTACGTTTGGCCTTTAAACTCAACATAGTTTTCCTTGCGATGGCCAGGGACGAGGGGGTACTTGTGATATTTTGAGAAGACAAAATAACTCGTTCTGAGACAATTAACACAATCGGCATTCGGTGTCATTCATTAGGAGGATAGACATACCATAGTTTTGGTGCACCATTGTAAACCCATAAATCACATTTACAAGGGAACCAACATTCATAGACTTCAGTAATCCCATATGCCTGATACAAAAAAGTAAAATCCATAGTTTAGTGTCCAAATTTGTTATTTGCTCCCAAATTGAATAAATGAAATGGTCAACCGAAAATCCGTATTGAACCGCAAAACACACGAGAATACAAGTCAAATAAGAAAGGAGTTGCTATTTACTAAGGCAACAGCAAGGGAGACATAGCCTACATGCAGATAATTCTATTCTATTTTTAGGTTGGGAATGGTTGATGCTTATCCTAAGGTTAAAGCTGAGAAGTAGCATGCTCAAAGTTAAGTTATGTAATTTTTCAGAGAATATAAACAGACTTTATTAATATTCTAGCTGGAAACAAACTTGCTTTCTATTTAAGTGATTTATATTATCATTTCTTGAGCATAAGTTTGCTCTGATGTTGATACTGTAACTGGAGGAAATTGTAATAAGTTGTTTTTCATGTAAAAATGTTTACTTAGCAAGTCCAAATTCCCCTTCTCCGTGTAAAAGAAAGAAGTAGCAAAGATGTTGCCTAAGTATTACATCTAGTACTCACACAATCTCAGTATGACTCATTCTCCAAGTTGGGAAGCCTAGCTGACATCGGGTAGGCCCATAAATCACCATGAGATCGAGTTCTCTTCCTCAACACCCTAAAATCACCAAAATTCAAAAAATATGTGTGTGAGTTTGTTAAACAAATAGAACTGCTACCTGTTGTTTATCTCTTTTCAGAGAATGAGGAGAAAAACAAATACAGAGTTGGGAAACATGGAAAACAACAAACCTA